CGCTTTCGAGAGCGGCACTGAAGAGTTTGGGCGAGATGGTGTCGCCCTGTCGAACCCCTCTCTTGACGTCGATGATGACCTCCTTGTAGAATGGTGAGATTCTGGTCGTAAAGTTGCTGTAGAGCTCACGAAGAATCTTGATGTACTGAGTAGGGACGCCCTGGTTGCCCAAGGCTTCGATGACCGCTTCTGTCTCCACAGAGTCGAAGGCCTTCTTCAAGTCGATGAACGTGAGACAAAGCGGCATCTTGTACTCTCGTGAAACTTCAATGAGTCTTGTAACCGTGTGGATATGGTCGATCGTGCTGAACCCTCTTCGAAACCCTGCTTGCTCGCATGGCTGTCCTTCATCTAGTATTCTGCCGATCCTGTTAAGGATGACTCGAGTGAATAGCTTGTAGATTACAGACAGCAGGCAGATTGGGCGATAGTTGCCAATGTCGTGGGTACCTTGCATTCCGACAGGTAGCGCGTGAAGAGTCGAGCCAGAGTTTTGATGATAACTGGCGGTGCATTCTTCAGATGTTCCGGTTTAACCCTGTCGAGACCGGGTGCTGTACGATTCTTCACCGACTTGATGGCGTGTCGGACTTCGGAAGAGAGAACTGAGGGGACGACGTATCCATCCTGTTGCAGTTGATAAGTAGGCAGATGGACATGGCTATCGAAGAGATCCGAGTAGAAGTCGTGGATGACTTTCTCCATTGCCCTTCGGGATGCAGTAACTGTTCCATCCGGACGTCGGAGGCAGGTCATCTTGGTCTTGTAGCTGGCAAAGCTTCGGCGGGCATTGCGGATGCTCCTCCCAGCCTCTGCTGCTTCAGCTAATACTGCTGCTCTTCGCTCCTTGAGATCTTCCTTTATCGCCTCTCTGCATAGCTTCGCAAGCTCGGACGTGAGTCGGTGATTGCCTGCAGCTCGTGCGGCTCCACGCTGGCGTATCAGTTCGAGAGTTTCCGGAGACAGACGTCCCTTGGTGACTTTCAAACTCTCTGCCTTCCTGCCACAATCGTGAAGATGTTCAACGAGCCGATAGTACTCCTCGTCGATGTTTTCGATTCCTCCCATAAGCTGACGAGGGATGCTGCTCTCTCAACACACATCGAAAAGTGGAATCTTGCGCGGAGGAGACGATGGTCCGATCCCGTGTAGAACTTTGGAACAACAGCGACGTCGGTCAGGCAAAACCTTCGATTGAAGATGATGTGGTCTATCTCGTTATGGAACTGTCCATCAAGTCCAACGAAGGTGAGGGGCTTTTGGAACTGTGAGTTACCATGGATGGTGTTGGTCGACATGATAAACTCCGACAGTCTCTCACCCTGCTCATTCCATTCCATTCCGTGAGTACCGATGTGAAGTTCTTCAGCCGTTCTTCTTGGGCCAATCTTAGCGTTGAAGTCGCCGACGATGACCTTGAAGAAGGTATGATCTTCCCTGTAGAACTTCTCCAATTCCATATAGAATGCTTCGTGTTCTCTTCGTCGTAGCTGGATGTTGGTGCGTAGGCGACGAAGATTGTCAAAGCAGGAGTTGAACCACATCTTCTCAATCTCAAACGTCCGATTCGGGTCGTAAGGCTTTCGTATGGCCAAGTGCGTGTTGACGAGGACACCCACACCGCCAACGCCTCTGCTGTCGCATGTTCCAAGGAACAGTTCTTCTCCAGTATCGAAAACGGCGTGTAGCGGTGCCTTCTCGTCTCGGTCAGTCCGATGACGTCGTACTTGATCTTCCTGGCCTGCATCATCAGATCTTCGATGTGAGCTTCGGATGCAAGCGTTCGTGCGTTGAAAGTACAGATCGCCATCTTAGTCCTTCTTCGTTTAGGCAGCCTATCCGGGCCCTGAGATTCTAGCAGCCTCTCCCGAGCGGTCCTACCCAACGCTGCTGATGTCAGTTTTGACCTCATGCTGGTTAGGATGAAGTTTGTCCCACAGGCTTGAAGAGGAAAGCGGGTAGGCATTCGTTGGAACAAGGTCAGGGCTGTGTGATGGATACGGAAGAACTCTCCGTCTGAGTCCCTAAATTTTCCTGAATTTTCTTAGCAAGAGGTGGTTCAACGGTGTCATACAAAAGCAAACTTTGCCTTGTTTTTCTTTCGTATTAAAAGCGTTGCAATCGAGCTGTGGATAGTTGACTTTCCGCGTTGACTGCGACATCTACACGTAGGGGTTTCCAGAGCTTAACTCCTCTCGTGTTCCACCAAAAATCCGAGAAGGCCCTACTTGGACGAGGTTGAACTTAAGCAGTAAGACTCCCGAAGCGTTTGAGCTGGACTACCGCCGCTTGTTCATTTGTTAGCACACTGTACCCACTCCTCATCTTCGGCAAATGTGATGGATGGTCAATCGAAGAATCCATAGTAAGTCGACTTGAACATGACGATGTCAGATCGTGTTTGGAGCTGATTCGGGCTCAAGGCATGTGGGATCCAAACTCTATATTTTCGGATCTTTACAAGTCTTTGGAGATGCCTCAGTGCTGTGTCCCTGGAAAATGATCGATAGTCTATCCAGATCCCTTTTCAACAGCGTCAGGTAGAGCATCGTGATTGCCAGTCACGGGGTGGTTGGAGTGTGGATCATCTTCAAATAAAAAAGTCAACGCTGAGCAGAGTGAAGCGCCGGTGCACCGTGAATTGAGAGCGTGCCCTCGCCCATCTTCTGGCTAATCCTTGGTGTAGCATGACTTGCGGAACATTCCAAGCAGTACTCGTAAAAATTAAGGGCTTGAAGAAGCTTTTCGCGAAATCGATGTAATAGCTCTAACAAGTAGCGAAACGGCGAGCTGGCCGGAGTGGAGTGAGGAGTGGATGCTTCGTCAACATACATGTTCTTGAAATTTTTGGAGTTCTCACGAAAATTCTCTAGCATTAAATGTACTTCGATGCAAGACTCGTAGACCAGCCTTATGTAGTGAGATGCTCGTCATCACTGAATTTACCTCGTGTACTAGGTTATTCGACAGTGAAAAACCTCGAAAATACAGATCTAATCAACGCGCGCCACTGCCGGAGCTAGACCGTCCCCATTTATAATATTTTTTTAACGTTCTAAAAAAGTACCAGACAGTTTGTTCTGACATTTAGTTTTCGCATGTGATGGGGAGAGTTCTCCTTTCTCACGTGTCTGAAGGAAGTTCGCGCATTATCGCAGAACCGGCTCACCTCCACATCAGCCCTTGCGATCCAGCAATCTTTCATAGAACTTTGTTGTCTAGTGTAGGCTAGCATGTTTCCATATCGTGGAGCAGAAACGTAATCTCCCCCGAGTAATTTTCAGTGGAAGTATTCCTCGCTTCATTTCCGAACACAGTTCTTATGGTGGTGCTGAAATTTCACCCCTTCAAAGAGGCTGTTCATTGGAAGTACAAAGAACACCTATAAAAATGAGCAACCTCGAGTATAGAAGGCGGGCATGATCCAATGCGCGACCAAACTGATGGAAAGGTTTGGAAAAAAATTCGGCCAACCGAGCATATTTCAGTGAGCACAATGCCTCGCCAATTCTACCACAATTTATTCGAACTACTAATCAATCAACAATTAACACGATTTTGGTAAATAGCGAGTACCGTTAAGAGATTTTGAGATTAAAGTAATACTGATACATCAAACGCATCTACTTAGTAACACTTCTCAGCAATCGATAGGGTATATATTATCACGTTGCATTTCATGCATTTACTCGGCGATCCTGCAATTTAGTGTGCCAGAAAGCCAATCTCTTCGTCATCGCTTCGAAGTCTATGGGAGGTGCCGCATATTCCCCGCATCTTTCCATCAGAATCGGAGGATGACGATCCCTACAAAACGTTTCTTCATGTGTGACTTTGAACCGCACTGGAGTGGAATGCATCATAGAATGATTCTGTGCTATACAAGTGAGTGACTGCAAACTAGCGCCGAGTTAATGTTATCAGCTATTAGCTTACTACAAATTCCTGAAGCACCTAAAATGCGCGAGGGAACAGTCCCAGCACTACCACAAACAGTGGATCCAATTCCTACATAGGACTTGATACTGAGCTACCAAGCTATTCGCGCAAAACGCGCAACTGCGTTGAAACGTCGTTTGGAATTATTGAACGGATGATTTGTGGTATTCGCTATATCTAGAATTTCAAGGTAGACGTGAATTAAATGGCGATAATCCCGAAATGTGTGTAGACAGATTGGTGTGGCGCATCTTCACACTTTAGCAACACCTGACTACTGTACAAAACAAAACAATAAGTCAGGACACGTGAGCTAGTTGCTAAAGGTACAGGACGTAAACGTACTTTTTGAATCAAGTCAGCACAAGAGGAAAAGAGTGCTTGTCTCATAAGCCCGAGTCAGGATAAGGCAATCAGCAGTTCTTCCCAGGGTGCGATAGTGGGCTCTCCAAGCACTAAGGGCGCGACACTATCGCGACCCAAAAGTGTACGGCAATGGCGCTAAGGCCCTCCTCGCCTGCGCTTGCCCGCCAGGGTGAAAATCGTGTCGAGGAAGTTAATACCCTCTTTACGACCCCCCTCCGAAACATGGACTCTGATACGACCCCTTTTTGTCCTCTGCATCCGGTTTCATATAAAAATGCTAGTTTCAGATGTGCGAGAGGGACGCAGCGCCACTGCCACGCAAATGCGGCTTGATCCAAATGCTTGATTCAATTCTGCTCAGATTAGGTTCTCTTTCTTTCCTTTAAAGACATTTAACCTTGCCACATTGGCCGGAAAGTAGAACATTGAAGGAGGTACTGCCCCTACACAGTTGAACAGTCTCGCGCTCCAGTATAGCGGCGCTAACTACCCGCGATCGCGTCGCGCGCTGTGCCTAGAGCGCGCTAGTTGGAAAAATCGTCAAATGTACCCCCTATTCAAAGGACTATAACTTTCTTCATTGATAACCATTTCAGAAAGTGAAGCAGTTTTTCGAAAGCACAAGAACTCTAGTTTCTAAATTGTGCTTAGCGTTTTTCTAAGCACACCTATTTTCGAGAGTGGGAGACGTCGAGAAATTGTCGAGGAAATTGAAATTCACATGCGAGTTCCCACTCTTTGAAAACAGTAGCTGTCTTCATTGGCAATGCTTTGAAAATCCGAGAAAGCGTTGTAAAGTATAAGATTCACGCTTTTTAACAGCTTTCCTATTGTTTCGAACGCTTTCTAGTTCGCGAGAAATCTGCGTCGAGGAAATGTCAAGGAAATTTTGAAGCCACTCGAAAACTCTATTACTCCCTCGCCGTAGTAGGGGACTTCTTTGAACACCTTCAAAATACTTCTATACACGTCAGTTCGATGGAGTAAATTGAAAATGATGCACTTGGCGCGGATCCATTCCGTTCTTGTATGCGCCATGCAGTGACCCCACTCGGAGTCATTGGGAAGGTGTTTTGTCAGTGACAACTTGCCTAATCACACCAAGAAGATATTTCCAGTATGAACTAATTAGGACAACTCTTGTGGTCATAGTGATGTCTGATCATTCCTTTATTGAAAGTCGCTTCCTTTCCAATCCGTTCTGATGAATGACACGCTTGCGGTTGCAGGATCTGATGATGCCAAGAAGGCTGCGAATCTGCCTGTTTTGAACTTTCTAACAAGATGCTGTTCCTCCATTAAGTTTTCGAAGCATTAACGTCATTCTAGAGTAGATAATCGCTGCCCTTTCCCTACGATTCTTTTGCAGGACGCGTTGCCTTCCTATGCCGCACTGATCACGAACCAACACCCACTTTCCACTTGAATTTTAATTCCAGACAGGTGTAAGATATTATTTCTTAGACTTTGCCACACTGTGTAAAGTATGATGCTGCATAATAAGTTGGCAGATTACGTTGTGCCGTTTGATGGCCTTTGATTTACGCCCCTCCCACTGTATCGAGGCATTCGACCACCTGGTCGAGAATTTCCCTTCGACCGTTTTCACCTGCTCAACGGCATCGGAGCATAATACGACCCCGGTCGAGGCATTTCCTCGACTTATTCACCTGCGCCCGCCTTGGCGCGTAATCCTAACACGGTTCTAAGTGGTTTCTGCGTCTCTCTCGGCGTTATGACGTACTATCTTCGCTGTTCTCCCTCTGCTCCAGTGCTTCTGGCTCCGGGTTCGCCTGCCCTAGCCAATGTTCGGACAAAATAACGCATCACTTCAATCCCGACTCGTGCCTTTAATCAACTAGGAATGCGCGAGGCACCCCACGCAGGCATTAGGAGCGTTTAACTTCGTCTCACATAAAGGTTTCAGCCAGCACTTCAACATTAACTTTTTTTCATGGATTTCTGCTCCTACTCACTGATCTCGCAAGATTTTTTTCATGGATTTCTGCTCCTACTCACTGATCTCGCAAGAAATTGTGGGCTAAGTTTACCTGGAAAATTCAATGCTAATGTCACTTCGCGGTGTCGCGTCTATGGCGCTGATCTACTGGCCAACTTTGTTCTTCCTGGCATTTTGAAGAATTTAAAGACTGATGCATTCAAAACTAACATATATGCATTGAAAATATTCTTTCCACGCTTTGCCCATTCGTCAGCTTGATAAACAGGTTCTGGGAGGGAAACAGGAGCACCAGAAATCTGGAATGTCAATAAAAATTCACACTCTAAAAACATCACTCTCAGCGAGAAAACCACAACATCAAAACACCAGTGAAATTGAAGATTTTCTATGAAAGTCCTAACAAATTACCTGGTGGTGAAATGTCAGCGCAAGCATTAAAGCCTGCACTTCATCCATGCTCATGTCATTTTCGTCCACAATGACCTGATACGACGTAGGCTTCGCTGTGCCCTAAAAATACACAAACGTTGCAGCTGAGGTGAGAAGGGGGAAGTTGCAAGGTTCTCGTACATGAGAGAGAGAGAGAGTAGTATGCCCATTCCTACACTTTCTAATATGTTAAGCGGTTACACAGAAAATCGTATCATTCTGACTAAAACGAAAAAAAATTCAGCGAACTACCGAAGTAATGACCGTATCTGAATTCTTGCGTTGTCGATTTAGCGGTGACTTCTGTAAGACGACCAGGTATATAAAGGCAATTTGGTTTGAATCAAGCTTAACCCTTGGACTGCGACTTTTTGAAAATTATGTTATCGGTGTGTTTTGTGCAGTAACTATCGCTCCTAGCAACAACTAATCATCCACAGAATTTGGCTGGAGTAGTTTGGATTTGACCCGGGATTCGATTCGGAAACCATGTGCACGTTTTGCCGCCCACTATTTCCGCTAAAATGAGTATTTTTGGACATAAATCGGTAATGTAACCATTGACACATACACATTTTTCACATTTCATTTGTGGAACAGAGCTAAAGTTCGGTTGGGACCACATTTGGGAAGAATCGCAAACCGCACTCTGTAGAGACGTTTCCGGTCCCAACGACTGCCTCTGCTCTAACAGATTTTCGTCGCCTTCCACTGCTACGAAAACTATTGGGTTGTCTCATAATTCCTGTCTCAATTTCGACACTTTTGTTTATTCAAGTTTTATCTCTTCTAGGAAACAACTGATCAATAGCATAACCACCATCATGGTCACTGATATGCGTGCATTTGCTAGGGAGCGTTTGGAAGCTTCCAGCCCAGAATGAAGGAAGCTGGGGTTGAAGAATTTGGAGAAGTCGTTTTTGGGGTGGTCGCAATCTTTAACTTTCTTCTCTGGCAGATGCTTATTCAGGGCGCAGGGGAGGCGATAGTCCGATAGAGCGATGCCAATGCTATATGGTGGATGAGGTATCGTGGCCCTGGCTATCTCCCTCAGAACGTGGTGAGCGGCATTTGGAGAAAAGAGATTCTCA